TCGGTCTGTCTGTCTCGGTCTGTCTATCTCGGTCTGTCTTGCTTTGTCTGTCTCGGTCTGTCTGTCTCGGTCTGTCTATCTCGGTCTGTCTTGCTTTGTCTGTCTCGGTCTGTCTGTCTCGGTCTCGGTCTGTCTGTCTCGGTCTCGGTCTGTCTGCCTTTTTCTGTTCTGTCTGTCTCGGTCCGTTTCGGTCTGTCGGTCTCGGTCGGTCTGTCTCGGTCTATCTGTTTCGGTCTGTCTGTCTGTCTTGGTGCGTCTGTCTCGGTCTGTCAGTCTGTGTCTCGGTCGGGCAGGACGCACGGACGAACACATCAACGATGTCAATAATGCAGTGTCCCGGGCTGCACACGCATCAGCGATGTCGATAATGCGATGTCAACCCGCCAACATAACCGGCATCGCTAACGTTTGGTCCAGTTTGTATCCATGCTCAAAAACATTGCAAAACAAAGCATTTCCCGGACAAAAAGCTCCCCCCAAGCTAACGCTCAAGATTTAATCTAGCAGATTTCTTGCGGCTGCTGTTGACGCGAGCCTCCACAACGTCTCGGCACCTTCGGTGCGGGCGGATTTCTGACGACTTTTTTTCGATACTAGTGATGGATGCGAAGTCGCTATCAAAGGCCCGTGGTCAGCGATATGCTGCCCGAGTGGACTTGCATTATTGGCATTATGTGCTTCTCAGAAAACTGCCAGAGAAAGAGAAGAGCAAGAGAAAAAGAGTGAGAGAGAGAGAGAGAGAGAAAGGACGAGACAAAGAAAGAGACAGAGGCAGAGAAAGAGGACGAGAAGAACCAGAGAAAGAGAAAGAGGACAAGAAAGGAATCAAAAAAAGAGAAAAAGGAAGAAAGGTCAAGAGGAATGGAAAGAGAAAGAGAAATTGTCCAGAGAAAGAGACAGTTTTACCGCCTTCCATCGCAGAACCGTTGAGAAAGAACCAGGCAAAGAGCAAGAAGAAGAGAAAGCGAAAGAGGAGGCGGCGCAAAAGAACGGAGGATAAGCGAGGGCAACAAATACCGCCTGCACCTGCCCTTCTTGCCTGCCCGGCCCGCTGTACTTTTTCTATTTTTCAGGTCTTATTTTAATCTACTGTCCTAATAAAAACCGCAGACAATGAGCATCTTTCCCTCATCAACTATTTTGGTGAACGGAAATGTCTTACGGTGGTAAAAAGTATGCCACTTATGTGTCCTGGAAGCCTCCAAGCAATTGCCAAAGATTTGTTTGAGAGCTGCGACAGGTCCTGGACCAACAGAATGCGCAAGGGGAGTTCGCACAAGCATGGCACTTGGGGCAGCACCAGCTCTTATCAAAAGAATCAACGTCAAGAATCACCACATGCCCGACCTGAACACCATCATGGTGCAGGAACTGTACTGACATCTGCTTTAAAACAATCCATCGTATTATCACATGGAAGTTATGCAGTGTGCTTGTGGCTTCTCACACTGTATCCAAGGCAACTGCATTCTTCGAAGACCTTGTAGCTCAGCTTGGTGCTTTCATCAATTTTCAATGTGGTATTCTCACTGCCTTCCTTTGGTCAGATTCTCATTACAGTATATGAATACAAATGATCCACGTCTTGCCCTTTCGACGGTTTTCTTGTCCCTCTGTTTCATTCTGTTTCTCTTCGTCCGCCAGTTTCTGTGGAGTTGTAAAGAGCTTGAGCCAGCCTGAGGATGTGGAAGGACATTACCACATGTGACCTGGGACTCTGTGTTCAGGGTGTCTCTGTTGAAACAACATGTTTGACTAAAGTGACTACAAGCCGCAAAGATCTGCAGAAACTGGTCCTCTTCTTTTGCTTCTCCGTTCTCCAAGTTTGTGGAATTCTGCGAATCGGGCACAGGGAAGAGCCTCTGCAATTGCAGTGAGCGTGACTCACCTCAGCAAAAATCAAATGGGGTGAACCTTGCCTCCAGTCTTCATCGCTAGTAGGTTGGAGGCCATTGCTATTATGTTGGAGGCCATCGCTCTTAGGATATCTCTTTAGAAATCTCTTTGGAAATCCATAGGGGTTGCACGAATCAGCTCCCTCAAGGAAGTAGTCATAGGTGCCTGCTCTTCAATGATGTGCAAGAAGCAGTGAATCGAGCAATTGACTGCACAGCGGGAACCTCGTTGTTGGGAAAGAGCTGAACACGAAGCACCTCAGTCTTGAGGTGCGTTTAAAGTTTAAAGGTTCAAAGCATCTATATACATTCTTTGCTCGCATGGCTTTATGCTTTCGCATTGCAGCGAGCTCTGTGTGCTGAGATGTGAGCTGAGTGTTCCAACCCAGAGTGGCGCCTTGTGACATCATAAATTTACCACAGCCCCAACCATCCCTAGCCAATCTATCCAACTTGGCTCTATCAATGTCCCCGCTTCTTCTTTGTGCGCTGGTCTGCCCTAGTTCACTGGCCTCCCTCTTGAATGTGAGTTCACGGCCTGGAACGTCATTCTGCTCTGAGGGAAAGAAATCGATAGAAAAATACTACTGAGAGGAGGACGAGCAAGTCTCTATGTTGATCCGCATAAACCTCAAACATCTCGATGTAAACCTGCAAGGCATTGGGGCACAAAGGCAGTGGAGTGAATGGGGCAACTCACAAGCAGCTGGCCTTGGCTTCAGTTGCCTCGGTAAAAAATAAGGTTTCTCCTAAAGAGCCTTCCAATCTGTCTCCAGTCTTGAGAAAATGTTGAGAAAATGGCCGCGGCGTCAGTTTCCAGCTGGGTGCAGACCTGCGAAGTGATACTTTTGGATTTTTGAACTCTCTTGTGTCTCAAGCTGTGTCTCATTCGGAAATTCCGCCTTGGCTGCTAGCCGATCAGCAAGAGATGCTTTGTCGCTTGAAGGAGCCCCGCAAACGAAGATGCAAAAAGCCTTCCATACAGAACGAAGATCCGTGCAGTCCTAAGAACTCATTGGGCAGCCACACCTCTCCCATCACGGACGCATCAATATCTGGTTTTAAAGCTTGAAATATTCGATTGTCCTCAGCATGAAACCAGGCAAGCAACAAACTGGCTGATGATAACATGTGTATAGATATCGAGAAATGGTCTGCCCAAAGCAATTCAGAGTCCTCGTGACCGAGAATATGCTCGAAATCCATAACACGAGGAGACGATAAGTTGCACCTCGTCGCGGCTAAGAATCGAGTCATCAAGTTTGATCTCATGAACACCGAGTGCTATAGTTGTCTAAATAAAGAAGGTACGGTAAGGACCCCCTTGAAGCTTACCTGTTTGTTCATCTCTTCGTTTAGATCGCTAATGTTAGCTACAAGGTCCAGACCTTTGCTGGACAGAATCAGGCATGCAGCCTGCCAAGGTTGAGGCTACAGACATGGTAAAGCAAACATATTGCAAACTTCATTGATGTATATATATATATGCTTGTTGTATTGACAATGTGCGCTTGCAGAAAACGTGATCCAAATGAATCCAGGTAGTGGAGATGTTTGTGTTTCTGTTGATATTTCACGAGTGCTGGTCACCACTCAAATGTCTGTTTGCTTCACCTGTGGGGTCCAGTACAAGACAGTGCAAACACCTTCACAATCCTTCATCCACATGCAAAGACCCAAGTCTCACCTGTGCTCATTCGTCTGCGGCTGGTAGGGGCTACCTCTCACAGGATTGAGTTGTCTAAAGTGGCTGAACAACGAGCACACGCCTTCGTGACACAGAGTGAGTCGGCAGCCACCTTTCTGGAGAGATGGAATAAATACTGTACAAATCTTTATGTATGAGGGACCTCCACGTATAATATTCAGCTACGTTCTATTTAGCTTTTTAAAATAGCCCGCAACACTAAAAAGCTACAAGCTACATATTGAGTTTTTTGTTTTTGTAGAATTTCTAGGTACCTGGAAACCAAGGAAACCTGAAGGTTTGATTTCTGGAAATGTTAGTTTTGTGGTGTTCTTTTAGTAGCCCACAAAACTTTAAAAAAAAAACTACTATGTATATATATAGTTGCTTTAAGAATGTTTAGTTCTTGTAGTTTCTTTATAATTTATAAATACCTGGAAACCTAACCTAGAAACCTGAAGGGTTTAACTGTTTAGAACGTTTGGTTTTTACATGTTCTCTTCTTTAATTCCTGGAAACCTAGATACCTTTAAAAAAATAGAATATACATATACTGTATATATGTTGTTTGTTGATGTTTAGAAATTCTAAGCGCCAGGGAATCTGGGAAGACGAAGGTTTTTGTTTATTTTGGGGATTACTTACTTTAAGATTTAAGAACGACTAAACATATATAGGTATGCAGCATGTCCACTGCCTGCATTCTACGCTACATTTCTCTACCTTCATACAGTAACCCTTTTAGTCTACCTTACGTACTGTAATCTCAAACGTATAAGAATAAGTTCATGTTGCTTCACTGTTTCTTTTCAAGTATCGAAGATTGGAAGAGTACAATACAACAGGGTAGAGTAGTGGGAGGAGCCAAGAAACACAGCGTAGACCAGGACTACAAAATAACTCTACAAAGTTTGTCAACCTGTGTGCGCTTCTGCTTTATCTTGAAAAATGTACATTACCCTACCCTGTGCGACTTCTCCTGTTTGTATTTGACCTTGCTCGACGTTTACTTGGAATAGTATATTGTCCGAGTCTCATTGTATTCTTAGTTTAATCGTTTCATAGAATAGAGTAGAGTACAGGACTTGGGACGACTTGAAAGCTGAATGGTGGGGAGTGGGCTCGTAGGTAAGGGGTAGAAAGTTGGAGTTGGAAAGAAACTCCTAATAAACCTAATATGTAAGCCCTTTCACAACATCCTTTTCACATTTATGCACCCAAAGGCTGTGCAAACAAATGATGCACCCAAAAGCTGTGCAAACAAATGATGTACCCTAGCGCTCTGCAAGCAAGTGCGCATCCTACTTGTTCACTCTAATACACTCAGACCTTTTACCCTACCCCCTTTTATATACTCTCTACTTGAAGGCAGGCATGAAAGGAACACTTCTGAGCGAAAGGATACAGAAAGTGAAAACATGTGAACACGCAAGCGTGTAAAAGGCTTCCTTGAACATAGGACAGGAGCGGGGTGCTAGTCTAAGGGAGGGAAGGAACAAACGAGAAGTAAGGCGACAAGATAACCTTTCGGGTTGTAATGCTGCAGGATGTCCTAGACATATGTTTTCCTGCCCATACTTTATTTGTTAATGTCCTCCGTTACTCAGAAAGCAGGCTGTGCAAGAAAGTCCGTAGAGAAATGGGTTTGCGCAACAAGGATCAACAAGCTTAAAGAACAGGATTGCACACCCATAATATTGTTTGATTTTAGTCGCTCTAGTCGCATGGTTGTATTCTGTCTGCAAGTATCTTCCTGTATTTGTTGGCAAGACCGGCAAGACCTCCTCAAATCAGTCAAGTTCATAAGAAGGCAAAGCCAGGCAAAGGATTGTACCTGCAGCTCATGTGGTCCGAGAACTTGCATCCAGTTGCAGTTCTCCTTGCGGGACGTTGAGTATGGTTGTCATGCGCTTGACAAAGGAACCGCCGCTTCGTCTCCATCGTAGAGGACGTTTCAGCCGTCCTTTTCTGGCTCGCTAAACGGTCTGACCTGAATCTGGTCACGGCTGAATTCTCTACTCTTTCTATCTTGTTCTTACCCTGTACCCTGTGCGTTAAATCCTTCTCCTGCAGATTTGAGCTTTTCGCAATAGCCATTCGGCAAAGATTGCCTTTCACCTTACTTGCTGCCTCGCCATCAGGAGCTCTCCATGCTATAGCAGTAACATGAAATATCCATCTGTAAAATGTTTTAAACAAATAGGCATTTCCAAGGTTGAGGTACCTGTCTACTTTGACTTGAGATTGACATACTCATACAGTAGTTTGTTGCACGCACAGGCACAGGTGTCAAGAAGGTCAAGTTAGTTTGGTGTTCGTCCTCCTGGCATCTTGACATCTCTTCCTCTGCGTGATGAGCCTCAGAGTCAAGCATCAAAGTCTCAGAGTCAAGCCTGAGAACGAGAGTCCTGGGCGTCAAGCACGGGCCTTGGCCAATTGGACTTCCTTCAGAGCCTTCACGGAGAGGGGACCACTTTTGCCAATGTAAAGCCAAACAACTGGAACCATCACAGCATTTGCCGCCATGTATGACAATGCACGGTTCTTGTGTGCCATGCCTCATGCAGCAAGCAACTCGTTTCCTCCAAAAAGACTCACATGTGAGTCACATGTGTTTTCATCTTCACTGGGCACCACGCATCATGATCATCTCTTTTTCTTTCGAAGCGCAAAGACTTTGCCGTGCTTTTCACTGCAAGCGGTGACATGCGAGAGCTGCAAACCGCCTTTGTGTTCCCATCCTTAGACTGCGCCTGTACCAGCTGCACTTTCAAGCGCAACCTGGATTCGACGGTGCACGGCAAGGTTGCACTCCTGCAGCCAGGATTCGAGGTGCAGGCATCCAGCATGCTTCTTTCGTCAGACCTTGACGCTTCCAGGGTGTCAACTTTTGAACAAGAACGCCTGGAGCCAAGCTTCAGACTAAACGCCATATCATCCAAAGCATTGTGGAGTCTGTTCAATTTCCTATTTGGAGTTTCCTTTCAGTGCTAAAACTGCGGCATGTTACAAATATAGAATGCTTAAAATGTGGAGGTAGATGAGGTAGTAATCTTGTCAGCTTGGCGGTTCTTTGGGCCAAAAGGCTGCAATGGTCGAGAGTCGAGGTCGCCCTCTTCGCGACAAGAATTCTAAGACAAACGACAAGGAAAATGCATTTTCGGAGTGGAGACGATCAGCATCCGCCAAGTCCAAGCCTTGGTGGACAAGGGAATTATCAAATTGTGCAACCAATGTTTGAGGAAGGCATGTTCAAAAAGCAATAAGGCACACCGGCTCCTGCTGTGGCTGCGGCTGCACAGAACCTCTGGGTGTTGAATTTTCTCCTCCGACGATTTCAGAATGATGACTTCCAAACAAAACTGGAGATTGAACGGAATTGAAATTGAGAAAAAAAGTAAGCTAAATGATTTGTCTATTGGGCTGCTGTATCCGTGCTGGCCTTATGCTTAAAATTGTTGTATACAACTCCAGATATATAGTATGCCCGTTTGCAGAATGTCTTTTCTGCAAAGAGGTTGCAGCAGGAGCCAAAACCACAAGCAAGGAGCGCCGAGGCTCCCAAATGCACAGTTGAGTCGAATGCCAGCACTAATTCCCAGTAACCATATCGCTTGTTGATTGCAAAGCAGTGGCATATAGTTCCGCTGGCAGACCTCACGAAGCCTCACTTACCAGTACTTGCATGTCAAAGCAACCCATTTGGCGGTGGGGGGATTGCCAGATGTTCCGCTGTCCAAAATCCAAACTGACTGACAGGATGACTTCAGAACTTGCCCTGAGCTCCTTTATATACTAGGCATCATGAACGCCAACCGCCAATTTTATTCAATCCAATTCAGTGACGTTTCGCAATGCCAGTACTAACAAAGCCGTACATATCATGTATTGCGAGGCTGCGCTTTCAAAGAGCCTCCAAACGAGGAGTTTTTATACGAGGGCTTTCAAAAGGGTTTGACAACGGACTGGTGTGTTGATGAGCTCAAAGATTTCCACTCACTTCCATGCAATTGCGGCCAGCCACAAGCCAAGGGGTGCGCACGAAGCAGTCAGCACAGCAAGGGCAGCACATGACATTGACGAAGATTCAAAGCCCTTCCAGTCCTGGCTCCATTCAAGACTTGAATATTTTGCACGAGCAGCTGCTGCCTCAGTAGCGATCAAATTTCTACAAAAGGAGTGTCTTCACACTGAGGGTCAAAACCTAATCATAAAGAAAACCAAATAGAATAACAGCAAAATATGGCTTCACTTCTCGTTCCCATGTGTCACCTAGGAGCAACAGTGACACAATTCTAGTAAAAAAACACAAGATAGTTCCCCGTCACAAAATCCATCAATACGCCACGCTAAGAGAAGGACATCACGGATTTGGACCTCGTTGGTTTCACAAAAGAAATTGAAAATAGAAACAAAGACAGATTAGTTTTGAATGGAAACTGTGACGAGAGTCAACAAATGATCTGCAACAAGAAACCATATAATATATGTATATATGTGGCGTCTGTGTGTGTGCGATCCAACTGAATCCACGTTGAACAAGTTGTCTTTTTTCATGTGTGTGGGGAAAACTTTTGATATTTTCTTGCCAGTGCGTTGGAAGTTTGCACAAAGACATAAAGCAGCCGAAAGAGCATCTCCGGTTAAGTCGCCCCTCCCAGGAACAATGAATCTACCAGGGGAGAAATACACCAATTGTGGAATTGAGAATATGTTTGTCAGTTTTAAGATAGTGATTGAAAGATACTTATATAATGATTAATAAGTTTGATGTGAAAAACCACAGCGCTCTAACACGCCTTTTTCATCTGTACCGGTACGGCCTCGGGTATTCGAGTGGTTCATTCCATGGTCTTGTCACACATGGTGTCCTCTACATCATCCTGATTTTCGCACACCCTGGAAGTGGACATGTGTGACATCTTGTACTGCCTATGTGCGCGCTTGGCAGCTAACATCTAGGAACTGATGTTCAGCACATGTCTCAACAGTGTTGGCTTGACCGAGAGTTTTGTCACGCAGTCAACTAACATCTGTTTGGTGTCTATCCAGCGTATATGGACCTGACGTTGTTTGATGTCTCTTCGCAGGAGCAGCACTTCAATTGCTTGCCTCTTGTCTTGAATCATGCCCACGTCATTCCGCGCGTGATCATACAATGGTGTGTTGTCTGTATATAACTGCGATCACGACCACTTGATGAGGCAACTGTTCAATGTTGTCTAAACTGTATTCCGAATTCCAAATTTCCAAGAAAACTGCTTTGTCCATACTGCTTCGGTTTTTAGAAACAGTGTAAAGCTCAGCTGCTAATGTGCTGCTGACTGCTCTGTCCTGCTTCTGGCTCTTCCACTTTAGCGGATCAGCGGGGCAATCTTGCCTCCATGCATTGCCTTGTCGGTGGCACATACCATGTATGCAGACTGACTCTTCAAGTCGTTTTCTGTAGCCCACGGTGCGTCTGCTGTCACCATTTTGGTGAGCTGCTGCAAATCACTTGGAACCACCTTAGACCTTCACTCAAACATGTTTGAAATCTCGAGCTTCTGCCACTGCTCTGTTCGCTTCAGCGATCTGTTCTACTGTGCCATGTTGAATGTTCTGTTGTATGTTTGCTGTCATGGCTGCCAATTAGTCAGGTCTTGTCGCTGTCGACGACCAACTCAAGCCGCCGGCTACTCCTCGCAGCTGACTCTTTTCCTTCTCGTTCAGGGGCGTGTCTTTCCCTCGACGTCTCTCTGTCTCTCTCTCTCTCTCTCTTAAAATCTTGATGGTGTTCAACTTCTCTGCGTACTCCTTCTGCTCGATGATGAAGCCTTCCTGAGTGCTTGAATGGATACAATGCTCTGAGTTTGTCGGTGATGTTCTTTGCAAACAAGTCTGTACCTGTGCAAATAAGATCATCCACATGAACTGCCATAGAACAATGATATTCACTCTCACGCCAATAATGAAAAAGACACGGATCCAAGCACGACTGTTTGAGTCCTGTAGCAATGAGACTTTGGGTCAAAAGTGCTGCGCCAGGCCTTAGGTGCGTCTGCCAGTCCGTAGATGGCCTTCTCAGCCATCAGCAAGCTGCCTGATGGAACTCCAGGCATTCCACTTGGTGGTGGTTCAATGTACAAGGGTCCTTCATCAACGCGTTGACCTGTAAGATGCTGCTTTTCCAACTTGTGTAGGTCAGGGTCCAAATACCCTCTAACGCACCATCTTGCCTTCACCTTCATTTTTCCAGGTTCTTTGTCATCTGGTTTCTCTGTAATGACAAACCTCGATGGGAGAATGCGTCCTTTCTTGAGTCTAATTTGCTTGGCTTCCCTCGGAGGAATAATCTTCAACGCCTTGTACTTGAACAACTTCTCGACTTCTGCCCGTTTGCTTTCTTTGAGTACCATGTCAGTATCCTTTTTGAGTCCTACCCAAACGGTCACCTCATAGACCTCACGCTCGCCGTCCGGAATTTCCGTCTCCAACTCTGGCATTTTGATCTCAAAACCTGAGTATCCTGACCATTGCTTCAGTTCCGGGTGAAACTGCCTTGTCTGCATGTAGTCATCGTCTGTGATCACGCTGTAGCCATCAACCCCTTCAGTTTTTACCAAGGAGTATCTTTTTCCCGTCAACCACTGCAGAGGAACTGGGCACGTCTTCTCACATGGCCTGTATGGGCCGTGCTGTTGTCCATGAAGTCGAATGAGAACACCGTCTTGCCAGGAGATCCTCCATCTCTTGGTCTTGTCAGTCCAGCGACGGGTTAGTAGTTCTGTCTGTACTGCCTCTGTTAGTCGTTTGTTTGCTCTTCTTCCTGCGTCAAGCCTGCTCAAGTCCTGTCTCATGGCTCTGGTCAATGGTGTTTCACGAATTGGTCCATAAGTGTCCAGGAGCTCCTCCTCGTCGTAGGTCTCGTTCTCCTGCAGTTCAGCAGCTAGGACCTGCAACACTTCCTGGTCCTCGTCCCACGAAGCGTCTTGATCTGGTAGATCTTCTGCAACCACGAATGTGTCTTTCTGGCTCGCCCTGTTGGGGCCCTTTGCATTGGCCAAAATAGCCCGGACTGCTTGCGACACCTCCGTGATCTTGAAGGATGCTCGAGTTGCGGTCAGGATCATGGCCTCCTGAGTCAATTCCAGGTGCAGCTTTCTCAACATGAACCAACCCTGGGCAGCTTCACTCCCTGCTCACGCAACGGCGGCGAAGCGGGTGATGAAGGCCTTCATCGTCTCACCTGAACGGATTGAAGTCTCGAAGAAAAATTCCTTCAAGGCCTCATTCATGTCATCCTTCTCGAGTGGCTTGAAGCGATCATCCAACGCTTTGAACACTTAGTTTTTCGCCACCACTCTTCGGCTTCACCAGCCAAAACCCCGATCAACTTGGGACCATACTTTTCAGCAGGATATGTGTTGGGCAGACTGATGATCATCAACGCCGCCCTGCGTCTCCATCGCTTGTAGAGACTAGGGTCTGAACCATCAAAGCGTTCCAGCCGTGTAGCTGCCAGAAGCCTCACTTGCCATGGGTGGAGCCCAGCCGCTACCCCTCGTGCATCGACGACGGGCACGAGCGGCAACGACCGGGCTCCGCTACCACTGTGAAAAACCACAGCGCTCTAACACGCCTTTTTCATCTGTACCGGTACGGCCTCGGGTATTCGAGTGGTTCATTCCAATGTCTTGTCACACATGGTGTCCTCTACATCATCATGATTTTCACATTTAAGGCATACAATTACAGAGCGCAACAAAAATCAAAAGTCAAAGTAAAACATAGACACCAATCACTCTATAGACTATAGAACATGATGGAACCTCAAAGCGGAAGCACCACCACAAGAAGGGCCGAAGCACACAAGAATAGACAAGACTGTCACAGACTGTCAGACATTTGCAAGATGTGGTAAGACAGCATTTGGGAGAAGCTTTGCAAAGCAGGGGTGAGATGTTCATGTTCAATGGTTGTTCTTTGCTGGGCGTGCATAACATGTTGGTTTTGCTACTTGAAGGATCTTTGGTCGATGTTAGTTTGCTTGAAACTGTCAAGCCTCTTTATTCAGCCCCTACATATATATACACACACACTAGTCTTTCAACATTCTCAAAGCCAGTCTTCGCACCAAAAGTGTTGATTGAACGTGTCTTTACGCCAAGTTCCACTGAACCTTCACGTCCACATCACAGACTTACTTGCTTTGAACATATCTGCTTCACAAAGACCGCTGGACCAATCAACAGAAGCCGCCCCCGAAGGGTGTCCTAATTTTCAAAGCCGGGGGGGGGATAGACGCCCAGCTCTACCTCCCGCCCAGGGTGCACGACTACTACTACTTCCCCCCCCCCGCCAGGGCGGGGTGGTCACGACGACTACTACTTTTCCCAGTTCGAGGGGGGGGCCCACGACTACTACTATTTCCTCGTAGCATAGGATCCCTCTTTAAGGCCCTCGTAGCACAGGATCCTTCTTTCAGGACCTCGTAGCGTAACAGGATCCTTCTAAGGCCCTCGCAGCACAGGTTCGAGCAGTGTAACAAGGCCAGGTTCGCCATGAACATGAAATACATTCAGTGTCACTCAGACTCAAGACCATGATGCCCCACAAAGGCCCGTCAATGCATAGAATTTAATTCCAAAACACTACAATTCAAAGGGACCAGCGGATGAACAAAAACTCTGCAAAGTGATATTACATTATTGATCTTACATAGCTAGGGCTACTGTACAAATCTGTGGCAGGATCCTTCTTTATGGCCGGTAAGAAGGATTCGACGAGGCGTCGTAGCACAGGATCCTTCTTTAAGGCCGTCGTAGACAGGATCCTTCTTTAAGGCCCTCGTAGCACAGGATCCTTCTTTGAGGCCGTCGTAGCACAGGATCCTTCTTTAAGGCCCTCGTAGCACAGGATCCTTCTTTATGGCCTGTAAGAAG